GTATATATTTTTAACAATATGTACTTCTGTAGGGATAGTGCTAAATAGAGCTCCATATTCTCAATCCCATAATTACTCAGTAGATGCAAGCAGATACACACATAGTAGAAAACAGTGAAGAAATAGCCACTTTAGATATGTAGGATAAATTCACTTTCTGTAATTCCATGGAACATAAGCTTCCTTTTCTGATTTTGCTAATATACATATATATATCCTTCTCAGGGCATTTATCCAGATTATTTTATACCTAAAAAATTTCATTTAAGTTTTGTAGAAGATAAAAGCTTCAAATGAATGCAAAATCTTCCATTTTATATAAAATTAGGATTTCATCTGTTAAAATACTCTCACATTTATTCTGCTTGAGGCATTAATAAGTGCCTAAAGTATTTTTGGAATGGGGTGTGTGTGCACGTGTGTGCGTATGCGTGTGTGTGTGTGTTTGTGTGTAAAGTGAAATAATGATTATGGATATTAAAAAGTATTCTAAATTATATAAACCAAATTTGGTAATACAAAAATAAACCTAATTAGTGGTGCAACATTCCTAATAATCATTATGAGATATATTCACTTGAGAGACACAACACAGGATTTGTGGAGAAAAGAAAAAAAAATTGACAGAAAATTGAAAGAGATACAAAATATTAGAGGAGAATTAAGAATGGTTTCTGTTGTTCATTCCATCCTATCTGAAGTATAATTTGTATGTTAAATAAGACAAATAGTTGACAAACTTGAGGATTCTATACCCTCTAAGCACATGTTTCCCATGGGTAAATCAGGTTATAAGTTCAGGTAAATCAAGTATAAACAACTTACCACAGGGAGGGAAATAATCTAAAAGCTTATTTCATAAATAGCTATCAATAAATTGTAATAAATACTAATATTGTTCTACATATCTAACTGCTACAGTTATGAATATGTAAGGCTTATATTTTTAAGACAAGAACACTTAACATGAGATCTACCCACTTCAAATTTTGAGGGCACAGTACAGTGTTGTTAACTACAGGCACGGTGCTGTGTAGCAGATCTCTAGAACTTACTCGTCATGTATAACTGAAACTTTATGCACATTTTTATGTACAACTTTAAGTACAATTTTATTTTTATGTACAATTTTGTTTCTATGTACAATTTTTATTATTTCTACGTGATTCTCTTACTGCAGATTTTAACTTAGACCTAACATAGCCTTTACATTAGATACCATCTTTAAGCTGAAGGTCCTTAATTCAATGGTCAGGAAGCATATTTTTCATAGAGCAAAGCCTTCTATGACTTTTATTACATGCTTGGCACTTTCCTAAAGATTTCACACAGAGACGTCATTGAAAGCTCAACTCTGTGAGATAGACAGGTGTTCAAAGGAATTTACGGATGAACTAACTCAGGCACAGAGGAGTTCAGGACTTTTAAAATAGCAAATGGCCAGGATTCACTCTTCCTTATGGAAATATCTATGATGCAATTTTTTTCATTTTATTAAAAACAGAAAAATTAAAACCTACTATTATTTAACACATATAAATACATAAACATATTAACGTCTGCTTTCTTGAAAAGCACCTAGCCATCTCTTTGACTGAAGGAAATTCTTCTGAAATAATAATGATACTTATTATTTTAAACAGAAAGGGAAACAGATTGTATTAGAATAAAGCCCATAATGATGACACATGGGTAGGCTGAATCGTCATGAAACGTTGCCAGGAATTCACATGCAAGGAACCTCAGTTTTTAAGCCCTTCCAGTGACATTATTTTCTCCCTTTCCCCCTAACATCTCAGGTTCCTCATGGCAGTGGCTTCAGTGTATCTCACCTCAGGTGAGGTAGTAGCAGGAGTTGGAAAAGATGAGTGTTATATGCCTAAGGAAAAACCAATCACTTTTATTAAAAATTAATTATATTTACCAATTTTGAAGTCTTAGTGCAAATAAACCCTCGGCCCCCAGCTTGGGCACCCTATCCCTGGGGTCTGGCTCCAGGAGCACAAGCCCCCTTGGCTGGTCTGAGGACCAGCGGGGCTTATTGGAGGGCTGTAGAAACTGAGGCTCTGCTCTTGAGGAGTGGACAAACAGACCTGCTTGCTCCCAATCTCAGACACTGGTAAATGCCTGGTGCCCTGATCAGCCTGCCAGATTCCCCTAGCGTGTCCCCCAGCCACGCAGGCTCATGCTCCAGCCCCCTGGGCCCAGCCCCAACCCCAAT